GTACAGGGAAAGAACTGAAATAGCCCTGCTTTTACTATTTGTTCTTTAACTTCTTCAGAAAACTGAAATCCAAGTATAACAACTCTTTCCCTAAAAGTATTAATTTTAGACCATCAAACTGTTCCATGTTGTGCACATTGACCCAATGTGCTTAGGATTAAGAAAAGAGAATTGTCGGTCAAAGCACAGTGCAGCTGTCGCTATATTTTTTTTTTTTTTCCCTAACAGAGCCCTACTGCCCCACTCTGTTTTAAAAGTGCAATGATATAATTTTATCTGTTGACTTACAAGAATATTGATAAAACTTAACTCATACTACAAATGACAACCCAAGATGTATCTCTTGAAAACAACAATGCTTAGAATAAGGCTCCATTATTTGTTTATCTGTATTGCTGATGGAATATTTTTTGCAACATGTCAGCTTTAAAAACTCCTTTTTCCCACCTTTCTCAGTTTAATGATTACATTTTGGCTGAACTGAGAAAATTGAAGCACTTACATTCTCATCTAACTGACCATCATTTGCAGTATTTCTAGATTCAGTTGAAGTGATGTCATTTTGCATTTGATTTCAGTAAGTTCTGAGGTTATTTTTGAAAGATATCACAAATATATTTATTTTAGAAAGTACTTAGAAACTTATAATAGACAATTTGTAATTTTATCTAATTTTAACCAAAGAACAGACAAAGGTAGGTTTATAGCATAGATTCTAGATAAAGAGAAGCAATGAGCAAAAAAAAAGTGCTTTCATAATTTTCAGTAAAGCACTTGGGATGTTTGCTTATTAGAATCTGTTTAGTCAGTTAAAATAATGGGAGTTAGTAGTGGTAAAATGAATAAGGACCTGGATGAAGGGGAGATGATATGGGTTCAATGAAATAGGAAAATAGCAGTTTGAGGGGGAGTTGTTTTTGAAGCTCTCCAAGGACCACCTGGGAAGCAAACTTTTTTAGTTTGGAAGATATCTATTCCAAAGATTAGAATTAGATAACCTTAAACCCTGGCACAGTAAAAGCGATATGAAAATTAATGTTACAAAGTACAAGTTCTTATACTTGGTTAAGAGTAAGAAATTATACTCTTAAAATTATTATTAAATTATTATTATATAAAGAAGGTGAGAAGTAATCTACTGGAAAGAGCAGAGTGGAAGAAAGTTGTGTGGACCTGTCATTTACAGGGCAACTGAGAGGAACCAGGTGAGATCTGTGTGAAAATGGCAATTGCATTGTACAGATGTATTGACTGAAGTCTTTCAGGAAAAGATATGGATTTGTTGATAAATTCCACTTCATTAATCCTAAATGTTTTATAAAGTTTTCTTTCATGTGTATTAAAGGATAAATTCAAGTTAGATCAAATACAGTGATAACTTGAGTGAAAAAACAAGGTGGGAGGAACCAGAAGGACATGGCTCAGGACCATAAGGCAGGATGAAGGGTAGGGGAGTTCCCTGAATGGTTTCAGCAGCCAGGGAACTTATCAAACCCTTTCATCCATCTCTCAGCCAGTGCAGGAGTGTCTCATATTTAAATTATTAGTATTGATTTGGTTTACTTGTTTGGGTTGGTTGGTTAATTAGTTGGTTTTGATTTTCCTTTGTTGTTTAAAATCTTGGATATTTTTGAGCCTTTTCAGTAAGTTTTCCTTTTCCCTGGTCAGTTTTAAAGTTACAAAAAGTCTTCCCAACAGTTAATATTTACTCTGCTTTCACTTCTTTTGTCTTATTTTATTTCCAACCAGATATTTTTACACAGTTGTCTGTTGTTTTTGTCTCCTAACTATACTTCTAATTTTTATATAAATGTTTGGGTTGTTTTTGGTTTGTGTTTTTTGTTTGCATTTCTCCTCTTTATCTGAAAGAGTGTATCCAGTAAGTTTTATAATTAAGAACCAGGGATGCGTGTCAGATGGATATTGCATCTGAACGAGTTACAAACAAACTCATTAATATGGTACACCATAGCAGAGGGTCCATGTTTCTAAAAATAGCAAGCTATAAAACATAGTCTCTGCTGGCTACTTATAATGTTACTGCTTTGTAACCAACAATACCCACGTTTACTTTTTTGTGTGGTGATGGTGTCAATAAACAGAATTAATTTTACTTCCAGTTTTTCCTAAACCTTTGTTCTGCTTTTTCATTTGGCGTTAAATAAACAAAATGTGTGTGACTAAACTTCAAACAGTTATTATTGTTCTACAAAGGCAACATGGAGGGAAAGCTAGAAGTCATCCTAGTCAGGAATATCTCTTAATGATACAGCTTCAGTACCTGTCCAAAAAGCATTTGCTCTCAGAACCATATTTATTTCTTTCAAGGACAAAGGAAGAGATGGTAAATGCATAATTTAATTCCTGGGCCGATGTTTTTTATTTGCAAAGGAAAGTCACAGTGCCTGAACTCTGAGACAAGTGCTCTCCTGTGCCCCTGACAGCTTTTTGCACACCCCATACCCCTTCCACCCCCAGCAGCATTTGCCTCTTTCACTGTGGTTGCAGACAGGAATTTTAGGGAGTTACCTGCCAAAGATTCTGCAGCAGGTGCTGCCCCCTAAGCTTGGGGTTTTTGGGTTGGGCAGTAACTTCTTTTTCCCCCACCAATAAGTAGAAAATATGTGCAATAATTTTCTCTCAAGAAAATAAGAAAAGCTATAATGTAAACTATATGCCTATTTCCTATTAAATAATAATATGAATATCCATAATTGTATAGTTTTATGAAGATTTTTACATAAATGTTAACTCTTTTACAGGAAAGCAGTGATTCTAGCACATTTATTAAAATAGGGTTTTTTCATAACTTTAAAAAAATAGATAACATCAGTGCATTGACTAGTTCCAGGTAGTACAACTGTTTCTTCATTTTTTTTTAAATCCTGCATCTTGCCCTTCTGTTACAATAGTCATGAGATAAAAATGGCAAATGGCATATCAATAAATTACATTGAAGAATGAGAATCTTTTTACAAAATTCTTTGGGAGTATTCTCTGGCAAAATTATTGTTGTCATCCTATGTTATTATTAATTTTTTGTTATTATCATCATTATCTTAATTATTATTTATGATAAGGCTATCATTATTGTTAAAACCAAGACAGCTTAAAAAACCCACTTGAACTCTTGGTGTCAGTAAAATGATAGCCTCTCAGTTTTGATTTCAGAATATCATCTTTGCTCATGTAGGAAATGTTAAGCTTTATATTTGACAGATGCTCTCTTTTCTAGTGTCATCCTCTAAAAATTATAAACATCTGTAACAATGACTGGCCTCGTTTATGTAGGAATCCATAGTAACACTGGAAAGTTGAAGAACTTGATTGAAAAAAAGACTTTAAAATCTTGTAGAATGTAAATTGTCTGTGTCAGTTCATCATGTGAAGGTTAGCAGTTTTCATGGATGGCCCTATAACATCAGCTGATTTCATGATCCCTCCGTCATGCCTTTCCTAGATTGAATAGTGACTTTGAAACATACGGATAATATGAATTTGTAAATGAAATATCAGAATACTTACTTCACTTTTGAGATCTTTGCATAGTGAGCTGAGTAAAGAAGCAAAATATATTTACTACTAGTTGGCTACCAGAAGTTCTGAATCATTCAGTAGCCGTGCAGCTATGTCTCACTATCTGAAAGTGTCACTGAAGAACCATCTCTTGTAGCATGGAACATGAAGTGCTTCTGAGGATGCAGTATATTTTAAAAAGTACAGTAAACAGCAGAAGAATCAATTTAATTTAATTGGTACGTTTCATTTTCCTTAGTGTAAGGCATTGTGTCAGGTAATGAATCTAGTTAAAAAAGGTCAGTCTCATGTGGGCATGTCTGGTGGGCACTATCACTCATGTTTTGAGTCATAGAGTGCATTCCTTCTGAAAGAGGAAAGAATCAGGACCCCTCTCTTTGAAACTAAGTGTAAAATTATTCTTCTTAATCACATTTTTAAAAAATTTGCTTTAATTATTGTACAGCTAAACTTACTTTCATGCTTTTCTAATGCTTGCACTTGTGGGGGAGTTTGGAAGGAGGGCGGGGGGAAGTGTTAATTACAAAGTATTGCTTGTATGAGGCTGAAATAAACCTATAGAAAATCTTAGCTGCCTTACAAGTTCCTTCTTTCCTATAATGAAAGAGCAAGTGTCTCTTATATGAAAGTATTTCCATAATTAAAAGAGAAAAGACACATGATGCCTTTTGTAGTTTACTTGAAGAATGAAAGATAAAAAACCAGAGATTTTTCATGCTTTAGCAGCTGAGTGAAAAAATTTTTATTTGGGTGATCTTCATTCTTTTGTCTAATATGACAAAATCCTTACAAATACAGAGTTTTAGTAGGTTATGTTTAGTCAGGTTCACCACAGGTGAAAAGCTAACTCTCAACTGATCAACCTATAACTTAAGGCAATTACACAAGAGGGAAGAGTATGCAGTGTTTCATCAGTTTGATGTGCATCACTCTTTTTTTATGCAAGTGTCCAAATGAGTTCTGGGACATAGAAGTGAAATGGCCTTTTGTTAAAATTTGAGCTACTTAGTAAATAGATGAACAGAGAAAGTTTCAAGGTCTGGACTCCTATCACACATGTCTAAATTTTTAAAAGATTTTTTAAAACATTGACTAATGAGGAATAGCTAGTTAGCCTGAAAATACAGAATAAATGTTCTGACTAGTCCACTGTGCCTGCCTTAACTGTCAGATAACTTCTATTGTCTGGCTGTGGATATGCAGTCATGTGTATTGCAGTCCTACCTCTGGAATTCACTTTCATGTTAAATGCTGCTTCTTACAGGCTGATACTTGTCAGTCAATTTAATTGAAATGTCATGCTGACCTTTATATGAAGTATACCGAATTTGCTGGAGTTTTTGGAAGCTTTTTACTTTTGTTCCAGTCAAAGTTCTTAGATTACCAGTATACAGAAAGTTCATGCTAATTAAGCTCATGAAACTGCCTGCTCATTGATCTTACAAACAATACATTTTTTGCAGATGTAGTTCAGCTGAATCTGCCTGAAGATCAGAAAATAAGCACCACTGCAGCAACAGTGGGACAGAGCGCTGTCCTAAGCTGTGCCATCCAGGGAACCCTGAGACCTCCCATCATCTGGAAGAGGAACAATGTCATTCTGAACAGCTTAGATTTAGAAGATATCAGTGTAAGTAACAGAAAGTTCTATTTCACAGCTTTTTATCAAAACCTCTCATAAATAATAGAAAAGTCATGCATAACAAGCTGCATACTCCTGATGTTTCAAAGAAAAGAAATGGAAATGATATGTGACAAACTCTGCCTGTTTTTCTTTGCTGTGTGTTTGAACCCTTGTTAAATATAGAGAAAATGTTTCACAGACCAATCATTTAAAAAATAAATATAGCAGTAAAAGAACATGAGGGCTAAATTGCAGCCCAAAATACAGTCAGCATTATACATTCAGGATTGTACAGTCTTCACATATTTAGAATAAAAGAGAAATCTGTAACATGAACATTTTCATGTACAAACAGATCATAATAATAGTTTTCTTTTATAATAGTTCAATAGAAATCTATTTTTCCCCAAATAAGTATTTCATAATAAAATTAGCTGTTTTGCCCATTCCTCCAAATATTCAGCTGTGTATATGGCACCTCTCAAAGAGCGAAAAATAGAATATTAGTATAATTTGTAAATCTCTTTTTTCAGGATGGCAAGGCAAGTGTTTTCCACCTAACATTGCCATGACCTAAAAATACAGAGGAAAGTAGAAAACGAGTATTAGAGTTACATCTTCTTGCAAGACTAAAAATAGGCTTTCATCTGTATTTTATATGCATCTGGGTATGCTTGCTTTGTTTTGGCCATTTTCTATTAGCAAAGTTCAAAATGTGGACAAATTATTACTTTGGGAGTTGTGCTGTCTGTCTAGCCCAAGTGATTCTGAAATCACCTGAACTTTTGTGTGTGGAATACTGCTACAATCAAATATCTAGTTTGTCCATTTTTTATTTCTTTTTTAATGAATGTTTTATTTTTAGTGGAAATTGTTCCCACATCATCTCTCTTTTATGTCTGGTTTTGTTAGTTCTGATGGTAAATGGTGCTTCCTCACAGTGGTGCTTTGTAAAATAAAGGACAATTTCAAAGCTCAAAAGCTCATCTTGCTTGAGTTATGGTTTTAAGTCCCTTGAGAGGCTTAGGATAAACCCAACATAATCTGAAAAGTTTTCTGTTAAATAATAATTGCTTTTGTTAGTTTGATATTAATCACATGACTTACATTGAAAAGTGTCTTGCCCGTGTCCATGAGATCCTGTCTGCGATATTTGTTATGTTCAAAACCATTATTTGGAGTTCTTACTAATCAATTCTAAGTGTAATAGCTAGCGTGAGCTGTTGACAGAAGAAGGAAGATGCATCTGTACATGCAGAAATAGCAGGGAAATGATGAATGGAAATGATGAAGCTAACAGCTCAGGTTAAGACTGAAAGGTTCAGTTGGCTTTTTTGTAGGCATGAAAAGATCAAGTGATTTCTGAGCTGGATACATACATTTTTGAGTATGAATAAAAGCCAAGCAAAAACCAAAACACAAAAAAAACCCCAAAAACAGAGAAAGTTATTGTGCTGGGTGCAGATGCCCAGGAATTGGCAGCAGGGGCCACAGGTGTGGCCTTTCAGGGAAAAGGACAGGGGATGTCATGTGCTGTATGCAGCCCTTTCCAAGGGACCATCGGCAGGGCAGTGGCTCAGACACACCCATGGCACCTCTGAAAGAACATTCAAAAAAGGGAATAAAAAACAGGGGGAGAGAGAGAACAAAGAAGAGCAATAAACACCAGAAGTAAGTCTAAAGCTGGAAGAGCAGAAGGTACTCCTTGGTGAAGCAGATATCCAAAACTTGTACATTGGAGCAGATTTGTCTTGAAGGACTTGACCAATTGCTTGATCAGTCTGGTGACTTTTTATGATCCAGTGGTGGCAATGGTTGACAAGGCAGGACCAGCAGGTGTCACATGATGTCACCTATCTAGACTTCTGCAAGGCCTTCAATACAGTTCCATGCAACATCTGGATGGATGGATGGATGGATGGATGGATGGATGGATGGATGGATGGATGGATGGAGCTAGAGGTTGTGGCCTAGTGCTCTTCAGCGTCTCTGTCAATGACACAGGCAGTGGGATGGAGGGCACCCTCAGCAAGTTTGCAGGTGACATGAAACTGAGTGGTACAGTTGACACATTTGAAAGCTGGGATGCCACCCAGGGGACCTGGGTAAATCTGAGAAGTGGGTCCACAGGAACCTAGCTGTTCATAAGCAAAAATTAAGTTGTAGTTTAGTCCCTTAACAGCTTAGTTACTATTCAAATACAGAAAGAGGTCAGATACAGTATCCTCAGAGAGGCACTAAAATTAATAGAGCTCATATATATATATATATATATATATATGTGGAATATTAATCTCTTTTTCCAGATAAAGTAAAATAGGGAGCAAGAAAGAATTAATGGAGTCTGGATTAAAAGAAGAAGCAACAAAAGAATGGAGATAAAGACATTGAGTTAGATTCATCCCCAGATCTTTTCTTCAAAATGTATTTTACTTTTCACTGTTTTCACAGATTTGATCTCTCTCTCTCTCTTTATTTCTATATTCTATACTCCTTGTATAATATAAGATGTCCCCAGAAGCAGTGTACTCTAAGTTTTACTATAGCTATTTTATAAACTATAATGATGTTTGCCTAACTCTGGAAATTCTTAATTTACTCAGTTATTCAAGAACCACATTTGAGCATCTCAAGATTAATAATGTTGTGTAAAGAGCAGTACATTTTCTGAAAATCACAAGGCAAACACTGGCCTGGGAAGATATATAGTTAGGGTTTTGGTTTTTTTTTTTTTTTTTTTTTTTTTTTTTTTTTTTTTCAGTGAAATGGATCAAAGATCAACATAACTGGAAGTCAACACATATATAGGAAACCAGACTAAGCAATAGTGACAGTGTGATTTTGTAAATCACAGAAAGTGATCATACTTAGAATTAAGCTTTTGCACAATCCAGTTGTTCTCAGCATGAATTAAGCTATTTGCTTTGAGGAGGGACAAACTCAGAACAATATAACATCCTAGTATTTTGTCAAATGGAAAAATGCAACAAGGAGGAAAGGAATCCAGGTCTAAACTGAAGTTGATAGTTCAATTTATATAATTTTTTTAAATTCTCCACTCCTCTACTGAAAGTGTACAAGATATATCTCTAAAGCTGTCAGCTGTGGAGTGGCTAAAAATGAGTCTTGATAATGTCTAATGTCTTGTATATTCTAAGACATGTTAAAGAAATATTAAGAAATACTGTTTGACTTTCAAAGGATGATAATAGAAATTTGTATTTAAATAGTGTATTTAAAAATGTTCTATGAAGTGTGTGTTAATATCATTACTGATAATATCCAGTTGATAATTTTGAAAGTCCTTAGTACTCCTCAACTCTTCTTATGGTACTTATAACTACTTTTTGTAGAAGTACTGCATCTTCCAACTAATCCTTCTCTTACTGAAACTGATGGGAGGCAGGGATAATTAGCACCCATCTGAGTGAAATTATGAAAAATTATATGCCTCTGCAAATTTTACTTAAATTGTAATATAATTGTGCTGTGACTCACTGCAGAACTGATATCACAGGGCATTTTGATGATATTTCAGTACACATATAGAAAGGCTTTTTTTCCATGCTGTTATCTTGCATCTTAAATTTAATATTTGCCTTTCCACTTTCCTCTTGTTTTTGTCTAACCTACTATTCATTAGAGATAATAATTCCCATGTATGAAAAATAGCAGATGTATTTCCCAAATTCAATACATATTACTTTTTTTTTGTGTTAATTAATTCAGTTTTTAAAGTCCTTGTAACTTATTTTACTTTATTGTTTTTCTGATACTTTATTTCAGCTTTGCCTTCAGGTTCTTTCCTATACATGTGAGCAACCATACTTTTCTTATAAGATCTTGGCCCTTTTTCTTGCATTTATTGAAGATCTACTGGGATGGTTTGTCCGCATGCAAAGTTTAACAGTAACTTTTCAAAATAGTGTAGTTCAACTTTTCATTTTTGTTAAAAGCTCATAATATCCCTCTTTAGGCTGCCTTCATGGAAAGCGTCTAATATTTTAATTTTGAGGTTTTTGAAGTTATATATAGGTTATCTTTTTCTCAAAACTTCTGATTTGTTTATCTTGTTAATTTGCACATTAAAGTTGACCCTTTTTTGGTAACAGTCGGCATTTTCTTCTTGATATCTTTGCCCTTCACCCACCAAGAAAACCCAAAACACTGTAATGGAGAATACCAATAAAAATAAACATTCTCTAAAGAACATAATAGTTTCCATTCTGTAGAGTTCTAATCAGAAACTGATGACAGAAAGGTTTCAGATTCTCCAAAATATTAAGCACCTTTCTTAGAAAGGACTCCAGACATCTGACCTCTTCTTTTTCTTCCAGCTTCTCATTCTGTGTTCCTCCTTTTATTATTCTTAAGAAAAATCTCAGGAAAACCTCGTGCATTATTCCTTTCCACATTGTTTTCTCCCATGGGATAGTATGGATCTACGTCTTTATACATTGTTGAATTGTTCTTAATACAGCACAGTTATGACTTTAATACAATGTTAGAAGTATGAATGCTCTGTCTGGGAAAAATGTGTGTGCATGCATGTGTGTTTGTACTTCTGACAGAATCCCAGGTGAAACATAAATGTGAGGGAAATATTCTTCAATATTTTCCCCAAATTACCTAAACTCTTAAAAGTAATTTTTTTTTTTAACTAGTTAGGACATAAACTAAAGGACTTGAATTTAAAAAGAGCGAAAATTAATAGTATAAAATGAATAGTGTCCTGGTTCTGGCTAGACATGTTAAATTTTTGCAGTAGCCAGGAGGGAGCATGTCTAGGACCCAGACAGTATTCTACCACCTCACATCATTTTTTTGGGAATGGGGGATGGGCTCCTTTCCACATGGAGTAGCATGGCACAGGGAGCAGTCAGGCGTTTTCTGTGGAGGCAGGTGAGCAATCACGTATGAATTGTTCGCTTCTTTTCTTCTTGCATAATCTGTCATTAATATTGTTGATGTTACTGTTTGTTGTCTTGTTTCATTGCTAATTCCAG